TTGTTACACTGATTCCAAAAAAAAAAAAAATCCCCCAATTTCGAGCGTCTGTCCACAAATATGCATACAGTTTCTGCACAAAACGTTTCTGCAGTATAAATGCATGCTGCTGACCTCCTGTCTTATATGTCTTATTTGGCAAAAGGGGAGGAAGATTATGTTTGTATTGCACATTCTCCAGTCACATTGGAACCTTTCTGTATGCATGAGTGTGGTCCAAGTCTTAACATACTTTGTCCTTCAGAAACTCTTGACTGTGTATATCTCGGACTAGCCACACAGAGGTACTGTTCTCGGAATAGCCCCCTTGCTTCTTCGCCACTTTCAGGGTCGTCTGTACCGCATTCTGAATTGGTGTCATTTATCAGCAGCCTCTCAATTTCGGCTTCTTCCATGCGAAATGAGGCCATGGTGGATAGTTGAAATTGCAATGTTTTATAAGTGTTACGATTAGAGGAGGCCACTCGACATCACTGGCTGACTTCCTCTAATACAAGACAGAGGTATCGTGTGTGCTCTTCGCGTGGGAAACGGAGTTACATCTGGACAAAGTGCACGATTGTGACGTCGGACTCTGCATTCAGTTAGATGACACAGGATGGAAGACTGTCTACTTATAAAGCGGGTGCCCAAAAATAATGTAAGTAGAACAAGAATTTCTATCTTAAAATTAGATTTTAAAACACTGTGCACGTGTGTGGACTGCGTGTATCCATACGGTGTTGCTAGGCTCTTAAAGGATAATTGAGAAACAGAACAAAGATGAAAGTATGATATGAGCATAATTTATGCACCTGCATACAAAATGGCACATGGTTTTACATTAACCATACACGATTTGGGTAACATGTTGTAATATGTATGCGTGTTTGCATGGCAACAGTTGGGAACAGCACCAGAGGAGTGGTGATTTCTGTGCAGTTTATGCCGAGAAGTTATAAGTAGGACAGTTCGAGCAAAGAGTTAGTGTTGAAAGAGTCAACAGCCAATAAGAACCTGAGCACAGAAGCAGAGAACATTGTTGGAAGTTGCTACCAAGCAACAGCTAGTGAAGACATGACTGTGGACTCCAAAGGGGGGGGGGCGGTGGCGTGTGTGTGCGGAAATAGTCAGCTGATAATATATTATCATGCACAGTGTGCGTTTAAGTACTGTATTTTTTATTCACCATTACTGTGTTATCTAGGACTGTTCTATTGCAATAGAAAAAGAATATTTGGTCACATCACTTTATCATGGCAGCAGTGTGAAACATGTTAGGTGTAGCATCATGTTTTCTTTGTTGAAATTGATACTAGATAGAAAAATGTCCAGTGTGTAATTATTTTATTGTTCTTGTGATATGTTGACATGCAGTAAATATTCTTGTCATTCCTCGTGTTCCTGCAGTGCCTTTGGACACACGGCAACAATTGATGGCACTTGTCATTGTTGAGTGATTTCTAATCACTGCTTAGTGTTTTAATTTATGTAAAGAATAAATAATGTTATGGAGTGGACATGGTGTGAATTTAAGACTGAACTTCATAATGAAATAAACTGAGGTCTCAGCGCATTCCCTACCAATTGGTGTCTCATATTTATACACATTTGCTCATTGTCATTTTCTCCAGCAGATGGTTGCAGATCAGGGAATTTCTTGCCATGATTGTAATGTAGGAGCTGAGCCATTGGTAGTTACATTAATCGTCTTCTGAAGTCAGTCAGAATTTTATCCGTGGCAAACAAAATTACTTACATACCTGCACCATACCATGCCACATTTACTTACACTGTTTGAAAGTGGCCTCCTTAGTCTAGAGGTAATGTTCCCACCTCGTGACTCGTAGTACACGAGTTCAGATACCCAGCAGAGGTCGTCGAATTTTTAAGGGCGGAAAAATTCAGGGAACAAGTCCTCTGGGAGGGACTTTAAGCCATGGGTCCCATGTCGTAGCTTTACGGCACGTAAAAGAACCTCATATCTCCAAAGGAGGTCACTGAGCCAAATTACGGACGTTTCCCGCCCAACAGCAGTCTCTAATACCTCTGGTAGATGGGGGAAGCATTATAGATACCTCTCAGCTAGTAGAGCCGGTCTCGCTGGCTGGGCAGGACTGATGGTAAGCACCAGTACCGGTAGGATATAGAGACTGGTAGAAATCATAGAGGGAAGCACAATGGACCACTACAGGTCTAAGTGCATGGGGAACCCACCCTCTCTAATAACTAACTATCTAACATTGTTTGAAGACAAAAATTGAAAATGTATTAGCGCAGAAAAGAAATATTGCTGATACACTGGTCAGTGGACCTGTGCCTAGTTAGTGTTAAAAGAGTTCTTACATTTTAGTAATAATGAAAATAAGAATGCATATGTCAGGCTTGCTTTTCATTTTTATTTTGTTACACCTTCAAGTGAGCATATATTCATAATAAATGTCTCATGATGAATTTTTTCCAACTTGGAGAGAACATTTAGGATTCAGGATATACAGTTTGGTTAAATAGTGTTGTATACATTATGGTGATGCTTGTGTTGAAGTATTTGAGGCAACATATTGTCACGTGTATGGTGGTACGCATGACAAAAATGATGGGTTCTAGTTCAGATTATTGGATTTATTAGCACTTTGGTTGTTATTATTATTATGTGGAGGGGATGGGTTGCCCCATGCACTGCGACCATTTATTGATCTATTGTGCGTCCCCCTTTTTAATTATTCTAAGTAGTTGCCATGCCCTTCCAGTACTAGTGCTCGCTATCAGCCCCTGTCTGCCAGCGAGGTCGGCTCTCTCTGGTAGTGGTTCCTGATACTTCCCCATGTGCCAGAGGAACTGGAAACTACTTGGGCGGGAAACTGCCTAATTTTGCTCAGAGGTCTCCTAGAGACATTAGGATCTTTTACGTGCCGTAAATCTGGGACACAGGACACACGACTTAAAGTCCCTGCTGGAGGACTTGTTCCCTGAATCTTTCCACCCTTAAAATTTCCACAACCTCTGCCAGGTTTGAACCCGCATACCTTGAGTCATGAGATGGGAATGTTACTCATAGACTACGCTTAGCACTTTGGTTACAATCCATCTTAACACTTTGCAGACTGGCAATTTAAATATTTAAATCACCCTGGGGACCGGCATTTTTAAACATACTACCCTAACTTGTGCACTGTTCACTTTAAAAATTAATATAAATCTCCTAATTAATTTTATGAAATAAAATTTTTGGAGAACACTTACCAATGCCCCTAGAAGTGCTTGAGAGTGTGATATTTCTGGAAACATTCCCCTTTGTGAAGTGACATTACACAGAACTTGCAAATGTAGGCAGTCATACTCCTTTTTCTGTGAACTGCGCAAACACGACATTGCCTAGAAGGATGCTTCCCCTTTGAATTTTCACTCTTCACAATTTTCACGAAGGTATGTTTTCACATATCACCTGAGAGTCACTCAGGGGGGTCCACATGAGGCCTGCAAGGAGTGGAAGTTGATGGTCCCAGTTGCACTAAGTCTGTGTCTGACTCTCGTTCTGCCGCCACCATCTGGTCTGTAACCCAGGCCTTTGCCTCATTCATCATAAATGCTTTGTCTTTCAATTTTGATTCAGGGTTTAGATTTTTGTAAACCAAAAACGAATTGAAAATGGCACAGTTTATAAGCCACAAGGCAACTTTCTTTGTCCACTTTATTGTTTTTCTAGGAAGAGAATAATAGGCCAAGTATTGATCGGCTCTTATGAACTCCCTTCATGAACATATTATACTCAGAAATACAAATAGGCTTCTTTACGTGTCCATGTCTCCTTTGAACATCAACCATGCTCGAATTGTGAATTGTGGAAATCATATTCACAACATGAGTATCTCTATCTCCAAAAAACAGTTCTGCTAATTCAGACACTTGCGTTGTGTCTGATGGAATTTGTTTCACCCCTGCATTTCCAGTAAACTGTCCCAAAGTAGGCATTTTGTCTTTTCCCCATGTGGCTGTACCCGCACTTCTACCTGCACTTTTGTCGGAGCTACTTTCAATCTTATTGTCTATGGCCACAATTGTTTGTTGTCCCCTATCACTGCCACTGTCTCACTTTCACTACTACTCTCAGAAGGAACGTCTGATAGCTCATCGGAGAACAAGTCAGATATTTCTTTTTCTCCAAGATATCGCTTCGTCTTCAACCACTTCTGTCCTTGATTCATATTGCACTAACTTCCTGCCTGGTACATAACAGCTTGAAGGGTCAAAGATTATTTTCCTCTGGAGGGGGAACCAAAACAGCGAAGTCAAGTTACCGCATACTAGGCAAACATTCCGGAGTAATATTACGCAGTAGTCATTCATTTGGGTAGCACCAGAGAACAGTATAGTGTGTTACAACATAGCATGTCCGAAAATCATGATATCATGCGACCGGCCCACCATGTTTAAAAGCCAGAAGCATGATATCATGCGACCGGTCCTCAGTGTGTTAATCACATTTACTACAGCGCTGTTGCTGATCAACACATTATACAGTTCACACTGGGGTTTTCAGTCTTTGCTAATTGTGTACTGGCAATGGAGATTATTCCACTTGCATTTACTGCTGGTTAACACTCCACAGATGAAACCTCAACTGACTCCTGTAGAGGCGTATTTACCTCGTCATTGCATAGCAACAGTTGCGGCGTGGACTGTTGTGGCATGCGTGAATGTAATGAATGTTACCTAGCAATAGCTGATATCTACAGTGTCACTGGTTAGCAGTGGATCTGTAGGCCACAAAATTGTCATTTCCTGATTTAGTATAAGTTTTTGGGGGTGGGGGCTGTTGACTTTTGTTTTTGTGTATGTGCGTGTTTGTTTTTTCCCCAATTTTTTCCTTTGATCCCCCCCCCAGTAATCGGGGTTTCTGGTTCCACTGATTGATGTATAACTGTATTGCCAGCTCACTGCTCATCTGGTAATATAATGGAATCTTGTTGACAGAGTTCAATAAATGAATTTTCATGTTTTTTCTGTTGGCTTCAACTCAGATTTGGATTGGGATGAAGGTAAGATGTAATTCCACTTGTGATAAACACTTTTTACCATACTATATTAAAAAATCAACTCATATTCACACTCCTGAGTTGTACAAGAACAAAGCCATTCTGTTTATTGTGTGCATGTACTGGCTGGAAGATAGGTGTATACTCAGGTTTGAAATTAAACACTTGCAATTCTTGATACCTATTTCATGAAATGTTTTAATGACCATTGTTTAGACCCAAGTTTAAGAGGTTATGTTAATTTTTTTAATTTGTCAGGAGAATACTGATTTTCCTGTTTACCACTGTACTCAGGAAATACAGGGAGGTCCTGATGTTCAGTGGGAGTGTGTTCTTTGAAATTGTGTCATATATCAGAATGATGTAAATTGGATATGTTTTTCCAAATATTTATACAGGGTGTCCCAGGAGGAATGGACCAAACTTTGGGAGGGTGATCCTTATGTTAAAGTATGCCGATATAACCCAAAACACTTATGTCCAAAGTTGAACGGTTACGGAGATAATGGCCGGAGAAGTGTCCAACTTTGACTGGTGTTACACACTTGTTGATTACAAAATACATATTAAAACTGGCAGGAAAATGTGGATTCTGTAATGTTAATAATGTGCGTAACATCAAACTAACTTGTGAGTGACGTGAAGCCATAAAATTGAAGTACGAAATACTCGCTCGCCATGTCATAATTGTCCTTAGGGTTTCCAAGCACGATACATGACACATGACTGGCAAGCGCTGACGTAATATGGCTGACTGCGCTATAACTGTATTAAACGTACATTCACGGAAAATCTCTTTTGGAATTTCGTTTCCATTATCTCATGTGGATTATTATGGGACCACGTATGCACATTTCGTAAATTATTTACACCGTCCAGGGTAAAAGACGCCTCATCACTATACATGACACATGAATGGCAAGCGCTGGTGTAACATGACTGACTGCACATTCTGCTATAAGCCAACTACATAAGTACTAAAATACAGTACCTGCTTTATAGTAATTGTTCAAAGTGTCCTCCGCCAGCTGCAATGCAGTTTTCGGCACGCATTATGAGGGATTGGGTAGCAGAAGCAGTGTTGTCTGAATGGTGACATATGTGCTCTTCCGCTGCAAAAATACGATTCCGCAGTGCTTCTCGTGAATCGACCTTAGTTTCGTAGACTAAGGTCTTCATGTGGCCCCAGAGGTAATAATCTAGAGGCGTAAGATCTGGTGACTTTGGTGGCCATGCAGTGGGACCACCACGACCTATCCAGCGGTTAGGGAAGGATTCATCTAAGTAGTGTCGCACGTGCTGAGTATAATGTGGAGGAGCCCCATTATGTTGGAAGTACATTTGCCTCCTTATCGTTACGAGATGTCTTCCAACAAACATGGTAACTCATTCCTTAGGAAGGCTCCATACATGTTTCCAGTTAAATTGTTGTGAAACACAAAAGGTCTGATCAACCTGTTCCCAAGCACACCACACCATACATTCACAGAAAATCTCTTTTGGAATTTTGTTTCCATTATCTCATGTGGATTATTATGTGACCACGTATGAATATTTCGTAAATTATTTACACCGTCCGGGTAAATGACGCCTCATCACTGAATAAAATGATGCTTAACAGTTCGGGATGAGCTTTTATCCAGTGGCAGAAATCCATACGCTGAGCATGGTCACCAGGTTCCAGATGTTGTACCCCTTTGTNCCCTTTCCGACTGCACAGAAACACTCTGAAGAGAACCAGTCTCATGCAATGTCTGGTGAATTCGCGTAAATACACGTCGAGATGGAATCCTTTGATCAGGAAAACGCCTTTGGTACTCTTCAATAGCAGCACGTGCATTTCCACCGCAAAATCCATACACAAAATGCATATCACAATATTCAGCGTGTGAAAACAAAAGGCATTTCAGCAACACCGCACAACTACACGTAATTTACTAACCATTCACGACGCTGGAGCAACGTACACTGTAGCCTCTGTAGGTAGCGTGTAAGCTTATGGCTAGTGTGAATCAGACATTCAAGAACAAACAGATAAGAGAACACAGCTGACAGGTATAGTGCGTGGACCCGCCAGAAGACCACACTTTTCTCGGGCCATTATCTCCGTAACCATTCGACTTTGGACATAGGTGTTTTGGGTTATATCGGCATACTTTAACATAAGGAACACCCTCCCGAAGTTTGTTCCATTCCTCCTGGGACACCCTGTATGTTATACAAGGAAGATGCACTCCCAGAGTGAAATTTTTGGATTCAGCAGTGTAACTTAAGCCTCACTTAATTAGGAACAGACGTTAAACATATCGGCAGTAAGAGCAGGAAATCCGTAAAAATTTGCTGTTAGTCATGATGGACATAGTTTGGTCCTTGTCAGAGCTTAACTATATATATTCACAATTTTGGTCAGAAACCCCGAAAGGAAAAGTCCACTTAGAAGACTTAAGCACAAATGGGATGATAATATTAAAGTAAATCGTACACAAATAGGATGTGATGATGTAAACTGAATCCAGCTGACTGTTGTAGTCTTGCTTCCAGCAAATGTGGTACATAGGTCACTGATTTCTTCCATGTGTACACATATGGAGAACTGCAACAAAATAAATCATTGACTTGAAATTGGGAAATAGACCCTGATAATGTAAGGTGAAGTAACGGATTGTGTTTCATGGTTTTAAAAATGCTTACATAGCATAGGTATTATCTCTGATTTCACACTGAAATGAATGGTTTGGAAAAATGTGATTTTGAAATTCATAATTTTATGAAAAGCAAATACAGCACATTTAGGATTTAGAGAATATAGTGTATTATGGTATCACATCCCAGAAAGTAGAACACATGTTTTTCAGTAATATTCAGACAGAGTTAGGTAACACTTTTAGTCAGCATTGAATGGGACTGAAGCAGCCTGATCAGTACGGTTATGATTACAGCAAAGATATACAGACTTTAGGATCTTGTTGTGTGTAAATACCATTACTCCTGAGTTAAAATGTGGCTGCCATTGCCACAGTAATGCAGTTTTAAATCCCGTAATTCCAGACAGTTAAGGTTAAAGGCTATGTGTATAATGTTATTCAGCAATTCCAACATCTAGAAAACAGAAAATGTGCCCTTATGTAAAAATGGGTCTGTGTTGGATGATAACTGAAGACATGTGACTGTATTGTGGAGGAATTGTTGCAGTGGAATACGTGTTTTGCTGTTTTACAGACGTGGGATTTGAGGGTCTACAAAGATTCATTGTGTCAGATTTAGGTACAAATTTTTATGCTTACTTAAACTACATTCCATGGGTCCAAAATTAGTTGAAAATGACCGCAGACTGTGGAATATACTGTAAAATACAAAATGCACAGAGAGTTCATACGAGTATAAGCTATATATACGCGTACATTCTTAGATCTAAGCCAAAGATTTCCTGTGACTCTTACCTTTTTATTCCTTGTTCTGTAACCTTACTGAATTATTGTTTGCATCTCTGGCCTTGTGCTTTTGTTATTCTTGGCTGCTCTTCATTTAATTTAAACAAAGAGTAGAAATGGTGTATTCCATAATGTACCTACTTACTTACTCATGGAACTGAGGCCTTCTGGAGGAGCCACCAATTCTGCAGCTACTCAGGAATTTCCCAGCATTTTATGGAACCCGAAGGTTCATTACCATGTTCACAAGAGCCCTCCACTGGTTCCTATCTGAGCCACATCTATCCAATCCATACCATCCCATCCTATCTCTCTAAGATCCATTTTCATATTGTCCACCCACCTATGCCTTGGTCTTCCTTGTGGTCTCTTTCGTTCTGGCTTTCCCACCAATATCCTATATGTATTCCTCGTCTCCCGCATTCATGCTACATGACCTGCCCACCTCATCCTCCTTGACTTGATCATTCTAATTATACTTGGAGAAGAGTACAAGTTATGGTATTCCATAATGTAGTACACAAAATTATCAGTGGCTTTCTTTGAAGTTTTTTTAAGTGTACTTAAAAGTGGAAATAATGAAATGCAAACCAATAAGTGTTCCATGTTAAATTTAACCCTTCAGCATGGGCATTTAAATATCGCTGTTGTGGGGCCTCCTGCAGTAGTATTTTTTAATTGCACATTTAAATTTTGCTCTAAATTATATTATGTACAAAACTTTTGAACTATATAAGGTATAATTATGAATTTTTCACTGAAATCATCTTAAAAGATGGTTTTTTAATCTTACCTTATAATATGAGCGCCCTGTATCTGAGCGATGGAAGCAAGTGGATTATAAATTGAGTTTCGTATGGTATTTCTTGAAACATCCATCTAAACACAACCCTGCCTCACATTCACTACACCAAAAATAAATTCTTTCTGTTTACCATGTTTTGTGCACACCACACATTTTTTTTTTTTAGGCTTTGCTTTTTTCCTTTGGCTGGAGTATGCTCCAGGAAATGTCGTTCTGTGAGTCTTTTAGGCGGCGGCTCAATTGATGGTCGTCCGTGTACAGGATGAGGAAAACCAGAACTGTGATTTTCCACAAGGCCTTGTGCTAGTGAAAGTCTGAACTTTAGCGTGCCCATGTTTTTGTTATTCGAGAGACACCGATATATGACCATTGCGTTATGTATTGCTACACTGAGTAGCCTCTTGAATAACTTCTGATACCACTTAGTACTCTTCTTTCATTCAAGCAAGTACGGCTGTAGCATTTGATCCATGAGATCCACTCCTGGCATGTTTCTGTTGTAATCACAAACAACCAAGGGCTTTGTTTCTTGTTTGGTTGCTTTATTCACAACCACACGCATATCATCTTTGTCGTATGTTGATATAGTCATTCAGCCATCGTAACTGTGAGGTCGGCATTCTATTTAGACTGACTGGCAGAGCTTCAGGAAATTGAATGTTATGTTTGCACGAACAGAGAGCTTATTCTTTTCACAACAGTCCAGTGCAATTGTCATCATGCTGGCATGATTCGTTCCATATTTATGGGCCTTTGAAATTAAGCTTACAGCTTGGCGTACGGTGTATGGCAAACCGCAGGTAGGACCATTTAAATACCAGTGTACCATGTACGGCAAACCACGCTGAAGGGTTAAACAAATTGCCTGCAAGGATTTATGGGAAATTGTATTTATGGTCATATATGAATGAGGCTTTATCATGAATCAGTATGACTGAAATTCGGTCCAGCCCAACAAATTTTATTGGAAGTCTTTCTTACAAGATTTCATTAAAATCTCTAAAACCGTTTATGACACATGGAAAATTCCATTTATGGCCTCATGTACACTAGGTTTTTTATGGATCGATATGGCTGGCAAACAGAATTTTCCAGAAATTTTGATGGACATTTCCCATGCCACATTGGACTGTAGGACAAGAGTATGAGATATATGGAAATGTACATTTATGGCCTAGTTATTTAGTCAGTTTATTTATCTCAGACATCCTGGATTTGCTGTCATGTCTGTCATGCTGCTATAGTGGACAGGTACCCATGTTATGGTACAAAATCAAGTGCCATACATTTTCTTAATCTTCATTTTATGCAGCACTGTTGCATTTGAATTGGCTTGCTTTCTGTTATGGGCACACCACAGGAGGTCACCAGAGATTGCGCTATATCCTGAAAACATTAATCCACTTATCCATACTGCAAAGCAATGGAATCAGACATAAATGATTTCAAATCTTCAGTCTCATTACCACTGTCACTGACACTATCAGTGCTGTCAGTGTCACCAAAGTTAATTAATTACCCTCCAGAATTGTGTCTTTTTCCAAGTAGGAGTTTTTCGTTTTTGTTATAATAGTGGAAACCTGATTCAGGAGGAAATTAAGAGGAGATTGAACTTGGGTAGTGCTTGCTACCATTTAGTCCAGAACCTTTTGTCTCCTTGTCTGCTGTCCAAAAACATAAAAATTAGAATATACAGAACTATAATTTTGCCTGTGGTTCTGTATGTGCATGAAACTTGGTCTCTGACATTAAGGGATAAACATAAACTGAGGGTGTTTGAGAACA